GCAGGCGCCACTTCGCGCTCTGCGCGAACAAGTACGGCCTCGCGCTCGGCGACTTCCCCGACGTCGACGACTTCCGCGCGGGGCTGCTGGAGATCGCGGACATCCGCCGCTTCCCCAAGCTCGACAAGGGCCTCGTCGCCGACATGGACCGCATGTTCGCCGCGGACATCCCCCGGCTCCTCGACCGGGCCGTCCGCGCGCGCCCGGGCTAGGCCCGGCCACGAAACATCGAGAGCCGCAGCACGGCCCCCCGTGGTCGCCTAAGCGGCCCCGACGAGTCCCGGGAGGTCCCCGGTGACCTCCGCCGTCGCGGAACGGCGCCGGCGCACCCAAACTAGGCCGTCGAGACTCGGAGCGTACTTTTGTCGACGCGCGTGATTTTTTTTGTGACAACTAGGGATTTGTCAAAATGTAAGGTAAAATTGTTCTGTTTGTCAATAATATGTAATTTTTGTGTGAAAAGTGTTGTCCTATTTTGCGTATATTTTTGGTGGGTTGTTTTACTGTATTTTTGGAGTAACCCGGAGTACAGTATACCCCATAGAAATCCGGACTATACTTTTAGGAGTACAGAGGAGTAGGGATTACAGAACGAAGAGTACGATGAGATAGTTAAGAAGTAGGGAGGCGTCGGGGCAGATCCTGGCAGAACAGGATCGCAGAACCGGAGCACGTCCCAGATGCGCCATCATCGCGGAGACGACAGCAAATTTCGTTTGAGAGTATCGAATTCGCTCTGGGTAATAGCCCCGGCCGTCAGGAGATCATTCAGTTCCGAAATCTTTGCGATCAAGTTCCCAGCATTGGCCGCGGGCTTCTTGGCCGCGGGCTTCTTGGCCGCGGGCTTCTTCGCCGCGGGCTTCTTCGCCGCGGGCTTCTTGGCCGCGGGCTTCCCCTGCGCGTCGTAGGGCAGGGGCCGCCGCTTGCGCGCCCCGCCGGCGGGCTTCTTGGCCGCGGGCTTCTCCGCCGCGGGCTTCTTCGGGCAGGCCGCCAGCTCCGCGCGCTGCGCGGCGTTGACCTCGACCGCGACGTCGTAGACGCGCCGCGCGGCGGCCACCGCCGGCACGCGATCGCCCAGCCGCCGTTGGAAGTCGGCGTCTCGGAGCGCATCGCAGGTGGCGTTGTAGCTCCGCGCCAGCCCCCCGTCTCTGGCCTCGGGCGGCCGGTCGAGCTTCTCGACCAAAGTGGCGTCGAAGTAGGAGAAGCGCGCGCCGATCATCTGGAAAAAGTCGTCGTAGCGGGGGAAGATGCCCACGACGGCGTAGCTCTGCCTCAGGTTCCCCGCCGCCTGGAGCTCCAAGACCGCGGCGACGGGCGCGAGGCCCAAGGTCCGCCGGACGACGCAGTCCTCTCCGCAAAAGTACAGGACGAACGTCTCCGCGACGGTGGCGGCGAAGGTGTCAAAAAAGTCGAAATCTTCGCATCGCTCCATCATGAGGGAGTTTTTGAGCGCGCCCTCGGGCAGCGCCTTCACGTGCCACGACCACTTGGACGCGAGCCAGGAGTGCACTTCCCGGACGAGCGTGACGCGCGCGACCTACGCCGACGAGAACTGCGGCCTCATCGTGGCATCAATCTCGGACGCCGCAGCGGCGCGGGAAGCGAGGCGTAGAGCGGCGCCCAATTCGCGTGAGGCGCGAACGCGTCGCCGGCCGCGCGCGAGGCGAGCCGATCCGCCAACGGTTGGAGGTCGTTGGAGCAACGCGCGTACTCTCGGAAGCCCGCGGTCCACTCGTGATACGGCCGGAGTTGGTATTCGTCACGACTGGCAAAAAGGCGGTCCGCGTTCATCCCCTCGTCCCCCTTCATGCCGACCGCGCGGCATCGACCTTCGCCGAGTTCGTCGATGAGCCTGCCGAGCTCGGCGCGCGCCCGCGGCCGCGCGGGCGCCCACTCCGGCGCCCACGCGCGCCACCAGCTCGCGAGCATCTTGGGAGGCAGCCAGTGCAGCTCCGTGCCGAGGTAGTTGTGGCCCGTGTAGACTCGGAGGCACCGCGAGCCGCTCGCGGCGCACGGGCCGTCGGGCCGCGCGTTCGCGCAGGCGATCGCCTGGCCCAGCGGCGTCGACGCCTGCGAGGGGTCGCGACGCTCTCCACGCGACGGCGCGTCGGATTCGACCCGGACAGAGTCCGCGCGCGGCGGATCGACGCGGCCCCTCGCGTTGCACGATCTCATGCCAGAGTGGGCCATGCCATCGCCGCAACTCCCGCGCCCGCGGGCGCAGAAGCTCGGCTCGCAGCTCGAGCAGAACTCCGCGTGCTCGCCCGACGCGAGCGGGTAGAACGAGCTATCTTTCTTCCAGGAGAAGAGGTTGTTTTTTTTCCGCTTGTTGCCGCCGAGCGCGATGTTCTTACGAATCGTGCGGCCGCCCGTTTTCCCGACGTGCGTGAAGATGAGCGGGACCTGCGCGCGCGCGGACGGATCCTCGACGCGCGCGTTTCGGCTCGGGCGCCGCTCGGCACCGTCTCGAGCCCGCACCCGAACCCGCGAA